TTTCATATAGCCTTTAAGTTTATCATCTCATATCCTCGTGTACTTATCATTCACGTTTTCCATAATTGAAAATCAGCAGTCAAACGCAGGTCTACGTGTGAAATAGGTAAATATTTTATTATGTCAGACCAAGATGGCTCCCAACATGCATTAGTGATATGAAATGTACTCTAGATATGAGCTGGTGTGTTTATAAATTTGTTGAACCGTAAAATGACGGGAACTTGTCTGTGTGTTCTGTGTCTCGCTCTTGACTTTAATAACAAACAAATTCACAATTATATTTTGTTTTCTTCACTTAAGTTATTATTTAGAACTACTAAACCGAAGTATTTATACTTTATCCAATTAACAAGAGTTTCTGTAAAGAAACTATAATGCCTAATTAATATTATGTAACTATAAGTAATTTGAACAAGAAATGTGTCGTTTTAAAATTAACGATCCATTTAAATGTATAATTTCCATTAATTCAATTCTCAATTTAGTTTGTTTTTAGATAAAACTTAAAAGTTTCGTAGGTTTGTTTTGTAATTTTTGATATTAAAATATTTTATATCACATTTTGAATTAGGTGTCTGTTTAATAATCTATCTAAACATCAGATTTTAAAATCCTAATTCCAGTAGCTCATTAGTACGTAATCAAACCGAAAGCTAAGTAATTTGTAAAGGTTTAAGGCGGCTTCAATTTTGTTCATCTACAATGCACAACCTAACCTAACAATTATTGTTGCAGTGGGGCGAGACCATGCTTATATGGTACTGTGGCTGTTAACGGGCTCATCCACCGCCTTCCCAAAATACGTAAAGCAGCTGTTGAATAATATTGACAAGGAAACCCGAAATACTCGGTGACTAACCACCTTAGCTTTTGCACAGCGAGTAGTCTACTCTGAGTGGCGCTAATATTGTCCCATCTCCGTATTTTGCAAGGCTGTTATGTTGGTATTACTGACAGCAGAAAATTAAAAAAACTGTGAATTTTATATGGCTTTTGGTATTATTTTCATACCAGATTTAATGTAAATCTGTTAATTGATTATATACGTTAAAATTATCAAACATAACCTCAAAATAGCAAGTAATTCCTTTCGTTTTTCGGCCTAGTATTAACAAGGCAACAAACTTACTTACGCAAACATTAGATTACATGTAATTACTTCCGTACGTTGTCATGGTAGAGGTCATATATAATTGGTCTTACTGGATGGTTCGCGAATACGCAATTTTCTGGACATGAAAACTTTGCTTTCAAGGCGAGTTAAGAAAGAAATTCTAATACCAAAACTGGGCACAGCCAAGGAATTCTACAGGGTTCAATGCCATGAGAAAGTCAATGCAGCTTTAAAATATGGAGATGTCGGTAAAACAGATGGAAAAACACGTTACGTCACCTCTACAGCATTTCAGGATGACAATGATTGGTCAGAATTTTAACCAATCAACATACGATGTTTACTTGTGTGTTTCTAAACTTTTGTCTGAGTTATAGCAGAGCCTTCGAATGAAAATAAAAATATAATTTGTATTATATTTGGAAAGAAAAGAGAAAATCAACATGAACTTGTATCGTTTACATGTGGAATGTGCAGTATTTAATTAGCAGCTGCATAAAGTCTGTAAATCACAATTACGTAGAAAACTTTTTACATCAGAAATTTTTTTTACATTAATCTTCTAAAATATAAAACTGATATCGTGGGCAAGTTTGTGTGTGTTTACGTGTTTGCTTATAGATCAAGAACAGATAAACTAATTTGACACTAAATTTGCATGCCTTCAAAGCAGAAAGAGACTTTAAAAATGTCAAAACTAAACAAAAAGTGACGATAATTTCTGTAGGTTAGAAATTACAGACGATAGGAAAACCGTGCCAAGAACAGAGTAGTTTATTTCTGTAGAAAAATTACACGAAGAAAGGTCACGACCTTAAAAAATGGGTTTACTTCGAGTTCATGACACAGAAAAAATATGTGTCCTGGTTTCTAGTCCTGGTAAAATCGATCTCTGTATCTCGTCATCAGGGCGATGAATCTGAAACGTTAGTAAACATCAACCAGACTACACGGCGCAACAACCCAGAAGACAGAAATCTTCATACTCTGATGACGGAGGCAGTATGACCTCTGAAACGTTGGTTAACATCGACCAGACTACACAGCGCAATAACCCAGAAGACAGAAATCTTCATACTCTGATGACGGAGGCAGTATGACCTCTGAAACGTTGGTTAACATCGACCAGACTACACAGCGCAATAACCCAGAAGACAGAAATCTTCATACTCTGATGACGGAGGCAGTATGACCTCTGAAACGTTGGTTAACATCGACCAGACTACACAGCGCAATAACCCAGAAGACAGAAATCTTCATACTCTGATGACGGAGGCAGTATGACCTCTGAAACGTTGGTTAACATCGACCAGACTACACAGCGCAATAACCCAGAAGACAGAAATCTTCATACTCTGATGACGGAGGCAGTATGACCTCTGAAACGTTGGTTAACATCGACCAGACTACACAGCGCAATAACCCAGAAGACAGAAATCTTCATACTCTGATGACGGAGGCAGTATGACCTCTGAAACGTTGGTTAACATCGACCAGACTACACAGCGCAATAACCCAGAAGACAGAAATCTTCATACTCTGATGACGGAGGCAGTATGACCTCTGAAACGTTGGTTAACATCGACCAGACTACACAGCGCAATAACCCAGAAGACAGAAATCTTCATACTCTGATGACGGAGGCAGTATGACCTCTGAAACGTTGGTTAACATCGACCAGACTACACAGCGCAATAACCCAGAAGACAGAAATCTTCATACTCTGATGACGGAGGCAGTATGACCTCTGAAACGTTGGTTAACATCGACCAGACTACACAGCGCAATAACCCAGAAGACAGAAATCTTCATACTCTGATGACGGAGGCAGTATGACCTCTGAAACGTTGGTTAACATCGACCAGACTACACAGCGCAATAACCCAGAAGACGGAAATCTTCATACTCTGATGATGGAGGCAGTATGACCTCCGAAACGTTGGTAAACATCGACCAGACTGCACAGCACAACAACCCAGAAGACAGAAATCTTCAAGAACGAAACTGATTTTTGTGGCAAAGCCAACACCCCGAAAAGATTGTCTTGGGTTTGAATTCTGGAAAATGTTCTTTTTTATACCAGAAACAGACTTCTAACCGACTATCTGGATATAAATAAACTATAGGTGATAAATCAACAATTTTAATATTTTTTTCGGACAGGAAATTACCCTCCAAAATTATGCAATGGATCACAAACTGGGGGTATATATATTTAAGGAAAAACATAATATAAATCACAATTTTAACCGAATGTTTAAACATAACGCTGTATGCATCGCGGAATATAAACAAATATTCATTCCTGCAGACACATTTCTGAAACGTGCGAGACATTATATTAATATTATCATAATTTTGTACTGTTAATTTGCTGAGTCAGTTGAGAATAGACGAACATTTTTGAATTAAATATGACGCAAATAATAGCCAGGAGTTGACTGCCTTCAGACTAAATAAGTCTCTGTGATCAGATCAAGAAAGTTCAACGCCACTGATATAGAGGTAAGTCCCTGTTACTATCCTGGGTCAATTCTATGTCCCTTACTTTGCAGTAATCGCCTCTCAACACGAATTTACGTAACTGAAAACAAAATATTGCAGTATCGATATATCGATCTTTATTCTTTAAAAGATTTTTAAAATCAACGTTCATTCGGTATTGTTAAAAAATTAGTTAGAATTAAAATATTACTTACCAGTATTATAAATGTTAATATTATAGAATTAAAATAATATCAATAATAATAATAATAATTGAACTAATGACTGAAGATATAAGACGGATTAAATGACTTGTAAAATAAGTATTAAAATATAATAATGGATTTAAAATTCAAAGTTCATGAGAAATGGATTACGTACGTTAATACGTTCAATTCCAGACACCATGCAAGCAAAATTGGTCCTCAAATTATATATTCACGTTCTCTCAGAGGTCTAAGAGCATATGGAAAAGACAATTTAACTTCTGTGCAACATAACAGCCACTTTGAAAATTTACTTAATTACATTTTAAATGAAAATTGGAAGATATAAAATGAACTCTTCCAGTTTTTATCGATTTCAAAAAATGTTCGTCGTAATGGCCAGTATTATAATGGACACTGTCCACTGAATGACATGAAGAATGCCCCTGAAATAGGCTGTAGCCCCGTCTTCAGCTGCCTTTTTCCTAGACGTTCTTAAACTTTCGCCTAAGCAAGAACGCGTCGTGGTAAAGTCTGTCCGTGTGCCAAACCTCCGTAATGACGTCATCGTCCTTCATGATGTCACCACAGAGCATGACGTCAGCACGCAGAGAGGCAATACTTTCTATCTGTGCAACAACAATGTATAACCCGCCGATATGACGTCACCACCCATCTGAATCGAACTCAGGGCCCTTTGAATACGAGGCTAGTATACGTTCGGAAGGCCCCAAGTTCGAGTCCATTCGTCACCACAAATATTAAAAATAATGTATGACAATCGTCAGTATAATGACAAGCAGACCCTGAAGATGATAGTAGAGAAAACTCCCGAAACGTCTCTAGTAACGAAATTCCTTTGCGAAATCCAAAATAATTTGTTATTTGTAAGATTTGTGGTTTTCACAGCGGTGAGTATGAAGATTTCTGTCTTCTGGGTTGTTGCGCTGTGTAGTCTGGTCGATGTTAACCGACGTTTCAGAGGTCATACTGCCTCCGTCATCAGAGTATGAAGATTTCTGTCTTCTGGGTTGTTACGCCGTGTGGTATGGTCGATGTTTACCAACGTTTCGGAGGTCATACTGCCTCCGTCATCAGGGCGATTCATCAACCCAGAAGACAGAACTCTCCAAAATAAGTTTATTTGAGCGCCACAAAGTGTTTCAGGACTGCGGTCTGCGCCCTCCACTTACCTGACTTACCAGATGCTGAAATGGAGGGGCTGACGGATCAAGGCGGTCCAGGTCTGTGTGCAATGCGAAATCGGTGAGGGCTTTCCAGGGAGCTTGGTACGACAGCACTTCGACTGGGTTTAAGCCCTGTGGGCTCTCGTGACGCACTGGACTCGACGCCACCATGGGAATTCCCTGCATGCTCCCGTATCCTAATTTCCTCCCGTCCTGCAACAGTCACGTGACACGCATCTCACAGCCTGATGGCTTCACTTTCGATGTTTCAGACATCGATTATATGTACAGGTAGCCCTCGATTTGCGCCGATTCAGAATAACGCCGATTTTGAAACCAGAAAGTCAAAAAGTGGAAAAATATATTTTAATATTATTTATAACGTTTTACAATGTATCTCGTACTGATTCTTATACTAAGTCGTAATTCTTACATCGCTGATTTTGAATACAAATTATAAATGCAATCATCTCTGCAATTACGTGTGTTTCGTAAACTCGAATTTGCTTCAACGCTTTAAACTTTCAAAGGACTAATTTAATCTCTGCGGAGATACCGGGGTTATTTTTACTACGGGATTTTCTATAGGTCGGCGTCTTACATGAATGAAACTATCGCATAACAGCAGAGATGACTGTACACATCAATCACACGAAAGAATCTCAGTCAATCGCGGGGACCAACGAATTGCCGATTGTAAGTGTATAAAATATATTTTTTAAATTCCCTTTATTTTATTTACGTTATTTCAGAGCTTTAAATGTAATACCATTATATTACTCGTCAATGTTTAGGTGTTGGAAACGCATTCCCATTGATTTACATTATAAAAGAGTTTCAATTTACGCTGGTTCGTCCAGGAACGCATCCCCGGCGTAAATCGAGGGCTACCTGTATACATACACACACAGGTATAATATCCGTGCGTATTTTTATAAGATCTATGATAATTCTTGGGACCATGTCCTTTTTTGGGACTTTATTTCACATATTCGAAGATCGGATATCGTGAGGCTTAAGTGCATGCAATTGTAATGTCACGTAAAATATAAAGAAAGCAGACAGATATAAGTTTATTAAAGTAATATCATCTAATACCACACACATCTTCAATATTATTACATCCTAAATTCACATTTAAATAACCAAAATAATTATAGTCAACAACTTTACCTTTAAACAGTAACTAAAAAGAATCAGGTAGAAAAGTCTTTCGGAATTTTTAACCTACACATTCATAATTAAGTCCGCCTATAATTTAAATTATCAGTCATATGTATTTAAAGTAGAGTAGTCAGGGGTAAAAAATATATGTAAGGGGCGACTGACCTTAATCCCCCCCCCCACGTCCGGTATCACTATTAAATTCTGAAATTAAATTCATCGCTCTTAAACATCTTCCATGTTATCAAATAAAGCTTTGTTTTATCCAACGAGAAAGTATTCTGGATGCTGTACAACTCTAAAGTTCATACATCGGTGTCCTTCGTTCCCAGTGCTAGAACAGAAATACCGTTCCAAAATTATATTTCTTCTATGTAAGTATATTTTTTTTACCTGTAACGTGATCAGCAAACGGAAACCTGTAATAATATATCCTGACACTTTAAGTTAACTAAATGTAGCATTCCGCAAACTAAATTTAAGATTTACAATGAATTTTTGATACTAAAGGATGCATTTCAACACAAAGCTTCAGAATGAAAATAGTTAGAAATCGATAAATAAACAGAACAATCTTCTATGAGTGCCTGGAGAAAATCTCGCACAGCAAATATGCCTTTCTCCTTCGTAACGCGAAAATAACGTAACAATTATATGAGAAGAAATCAGGATTTTAAAAGTGGATTAAACACACAAGTGGTTTGTAAGTTTCGTAAAAAATCTGTTTTCCAGAAATTGTGTTGGCCTACTTTCAACAGACACGTAACAAACAACTGTAACAAAATATGTTAAAGCGTCCGTAACTTAATGGAAATGAATCATGACTAACTAATTCATAATCACTCAATTAGCTGAATTACACACTCGTAGAATAAGCAGACATAATTGATCTGATACGTGATATACGAAATACTTTTATTGGTCTGAAAAATTCATATAAATTTAATCGGGAACGCATAAAATCACTAGTTACATGTTCACGAGAAATCTTCGTTGTGACTGCAAGACTTGTTGAAATATATACTTGTTCAATTTTATCAGTCTAAACACAATAAATTAAATTAAATATTAAAATATTATTACAATTAACATTTAAATATTTAAAATATATTAAAATGATGCTCTTTATCGAAATTAATTGTAATAATATTTTAATATTTAATTTAATTTATTGTGTTTAGACTGATAAAATTGAACAAGTATATATTTCAACACAATATAACGCAACATTATCATCTCACTGCTAGAAATATATTTTATAATTTACACTTAATATTCAAGATTCTTAAATACTAAATTGGATAATCAAGACATTGATAATTATCAACCTTTGATTAATCAAGCAAGACGAACCGGATCAGAATTATAGCATAAATATACATAAGGGAAATAAAAAATGCATACATAATTTTGGTCGAAAAATCTATAAAAAAAAATTAATTTCAATGACGTGAGTATATAGTACGTGAGAGTGTGGAGTGGACTGAAATGGCTCACGATGCGATTTCTGACTTTTGTGGAAACGGTGATGAATTTTCTGGCTCTTTAACAGAAAAAAAAAACTAATTTCTTGCCCATCTAAATGATCATTATCTGCTCAAGAACATCCTAACCATTGATTTCGTTTATCTTTCCAAAAGAATATTTCTTTTTATAAATTACAGGACTCATAACACTCGAAAGAAGTCATGTTACTGTCCGCGTCATTTAACTTGGCTTATAATAGAAACTGGGGCCGGAGGGAAGGAGGTCAGAGCACACATTGAGCATGCGCTGATCACTGTTACTGTCCAAAACGTTTGTCCTTCGTACACACAGTATGAGCAATGTGTAGTTCAACAACGGAGCGAACACCGCCGCGGCAAATGTTTTCTGATCGGTTAATACTTGTCTCCTCATTCCATAAAATAAGCCTTAATACTTGTCTCCTCATTCCATAAAACAAGCCATAACAAGAATAACCAACACAGTACTCCAGTGCGCAGGCGCCAAGTACACAGACGCGGACAATAAGAATCTTCTATTCACTTTTCTCAATACGGAGCGACTACAGTGCAATATTCTGTAAATTTTGATGAGGACTTTAGCAAAAACTAACAAAATTAATATCAGACTTACATTTTCGTAATATACTGCACCCGAGAACACAATGAGACGGTCGTAAGGTCCGCCATCCTGCAAGATCCAGAAAACGAGATCTTCTGTATTAATCCCCTAATCCCCCCTCGTCTGGTGGGTTTTGGTGGCAAATACAAATTTTAAAATATATCTCATACGTTACGTAAAGATTTTCTAAAGCGTTCTAGCAATTGTTAATTCAATTCACCATAATTATGTATGACTGTGCATGATCCATATTTGTTATACACGACGTTTCGGGAATTATTTTTTACTCCAATGGCCTAACGATCGGCATTCAAGTTTTGCTTTTAATCCTGACAGTTACCAGTAACAAAAACCAAAGGATTTTTTTTCTCTCCATATTTTCAGTTTAATCGTAAATAAACATATGAAGGAAGAAATAATATTAATTTCAAAATCGTTTATATTAAACATAATTTATAATATGGACACTACAGAAGTATGGTGTATTGACGACTTGGTTACTTGTCAGGTATAAAAAATTCATAATTAAAAGTCTAGGTTAATTTCAGCAAACAAAACAATATAAAATCAATATAAACACAGTATAGTATTCATTGATTAAAAAATTATTTTTCATAACAGTAGTTTTAAAACCGTTGACATTCAATGAGAAATTATTTCTTTATCATCTTTACCTCAGCTCCTTCCATCTCTTCCATTTATCAGACCACTCCATCAATATCACATTCCTTGTTTATGTATCTCTTTTAAGAACTACTGTATACCCCGTCTGACAAAGGAGTGCCGTGGTGCACTCTGAAATCTGCCTTGTTGACTGGTGTGACGTCAGCCACAGATGTTAAACTGTACATGCTACCTCTCCCCTATCTTCTCCTCTCCCCCCTTACCCCTCGTACAGTGTAAACATTCATGAGCGCCCTCCGAAGAATTCAGCAATCTTTGTTCAGATGGCTGAAAGGATCCCATGTGTAATACAAGGATAACAATGAAAATTTTTTTAAGTCTTCTTACATCAAAGTCTACCCGGAGGTCCGCGGTCATTTAAAAATACGAACAAAGTCTTTTTATAACACACATAACAGCTATAAACAGTGGTCAATGTATTAAGTTTGGAATTAACAACGTTACCCACAGTTTTAGTCGATAAAATAATGTATTTAAATATCCAACCCTTCCTGGAATAAAGAAAATATTGTGGATAACTTAATACTAGTGTCGTCCTGTGTCACGACAGGTATAATAAATTATATTTCTAACTGAGCTGATATAATTTGTTCGAAAACCGAACAGAATTATTATATCGCCTATGCTTCACGATTCTTTGAGTTTTATTTAGCAAAAAAAAATATCGTATTTCTTTTAGGGTAATTTTAAATGGTAAAATTCAGAGGTCAAAGCACCGTGTTTGTTTTCGCAGCTTGGGGGAATCTCTCCTCCACCCTCTACGGTAAGCTGAGCTGACACACTAAACAGTTGCGTTATGATGGCCCTTGGCCGGCGCAAGAGGGGAAGGAAATACGAGTGGAGGGGAGGTACAGCTACGATCTCCAATTTCGGTAGTGCTATACACATGACTGAAAACATTTATCTTTCATAACTGTAACACACGTTTCCACGGCGAAGGAATTTTGCTCAGTGTTTTGTAGTTTTTAATGTGACTGGGTTATTTACTTAAATTTCATTTATTATACTCATATTTTGTAAAATATGCATATTAAGAACTGATGTTTTCTGAGAGTAATGGCCAAGTTTACAGCACAGTCGAGAACCAAGGACCACCGTAAGGTAACAGATCAGTGTATTCATGTTCTCACTGGGAACAACTTTGTTCAGCGTGTAGAAACACCTTCTTCCGTACAAGTAATTTAATGTCATCAATTTTTCCAGAGTTTTTGAGATATTAAATTAAATCAATAACAAAATATTTTCTGCATTTTACAACTCTTATTCTGCAGTGCAACACACGATTCATTCGTTAATAATCGTCATCATACGAAGAAGTTTTCTGTCCCTTGAAGGAGGTTGGGGCAGTGGTTATCAGCACTGTTGCCCTCACAAAAACTTTCAGAAGTGATGCTGGAGGGGACTTGGGTCCACAGGCGGACAGAAACAGCAACAAAGAAATCTCCTTCCTCGACCATAAGAGACGACACTCCTCCTAAACACAAGTTGTGACTTCGTATAACTTGATAAAACTAACCAAGTCTCTCGTAAGTGAAGCCACAAATCTTTTCGGACTTACGTCTCACCTTGTCTTCAGGAAATAAAAATTAAAACTTACGTGACAAATATTAGTAAAAAAAAACCAGACCAGAGACTTTCGTGTGTTTTAATCCATCAGGTTAGGTTTACATTTAAAACAAATCTTAGGCTGAGGCGAAATTTGATTGAGTGCAGCTCAGATATCCTTCTTACAAGATTTTATTCGTTGCTTCTTATGGAGTGTCTCAAAATATACCTACCAAGTTCACGTTCAACTTTCTCCACAACGAATTATTTAAATTTGATGAAACTTTGTGGTCACTCAAAACCATTAGTCCATAATTTTCGTTCGATATTTCATGCAGTACCGAACAACGATATTCATAATCGATAATTCGATTATTTGAGAGCCCACAATAAGTCAGAAGAGCATTCTAAGTAAAGTTTGGCGTCGAAGTAAAATGTACAAGGACACAATTTTAAACCTCGTCAAGAAATTTTGCAAGATAGGATCAGATTTGTAAGATTCTCAAATCAGCAGGTCTTAAGTATCTGAATTAGACTTTTATACGAATCATAAATACACAGAATTTTTTTGAAATGTAAAACAATATCCATATAAAGACAACAAATATATTAATTATCGGAAATACTTATAATTTAGAAGAGAGAATGCAATAATATTTCATGGCATACAACACTAATGAAACTTTTCCTTAGTTTTTTTCATTCATTTTAATTATTTCCGTACCTCATCTATCTCTCTGTCCCATAATTCTATCTTCCCTGCACTCGAACTCAGATACGCTGTCGAAATTCGGTAGTCACCCCCCGCCTTAAAAAAAAACCCAAAATTTCATTACCGGTCACAGCTTCCCCGCACCCAATCCTCAGCCTAAAATCCTATTTCCCTAAAGTAAATATTAATATTATCCTCCCATCTACGCCTAGATCTTGTAAATAGTCTTTTTCCTTCAGGTTTTTCCAACCAAAATTTTGTACGCATTTCTCATCAACAGTAAACGTGAACATATGAATTAACTCGTACAAAAAAAAAAAAGATATTTTATCGTAACATTAATTCACAATTTCCTATTCAAGGATAGCTGGTATTTCTGTAATCGGTCATAAAATATTATTATTTACTTTAATTATATATTTTATAACCTATTTCCGCGTGTTATAATAAGACGTAACAGCGTAAAATTACGAAAAATAATTAATTTGATATTCCACGGGTTGGGCTAAGCTTGCAGAGTAATTTGATTAAAAAGAATTCTATCATACGTGATTGCGTTTCAGAAATTGTCCTCGGTCGATTTATGGAATGGAAAGGAAAACCGAGTATCTCCGTTGTCTGTCATCCGATATATTCAGCTAGGCGAGCGAGAATGCATTTAAGGCTACGCTTAACATAACAATCCCCGAACAAAACGACGAAAACACGAACTTAGAGAAAGACAATAACTAACCCATGGGATGATCAATATTTTGTCGGGCATCTGTGGTTAAGACGAGGGTTGGTACGAGTGTCCGCCTTTGCTGTTGACTCTGTCATACAATACGCGACAGCAGCGGTCGGCCTTCCTTCTTCCTTCCGTCGCCATGTTTACTTTGGATGTTCTTTTCCCATAATGCAATTCTAACCGGCCGATGCTGCCTTTCGAACAGTGTCTATTACAGTCAAAACGAAACGGTAAATAATCCAGTCGAATCCAACATTAAACTAACTTAACCCTTTCGAGGTCAGATTATCTTTAAATTCGTTCATCAACTAACAATAACCTTAACTAACTAACTAACCTTACTAAGAATCCTGAGATTTAATGCGGAATAAGCTTATAAGTGTATTATTCTTGTATGTGTAATGTTTTACTTTTATTATTATTGAAATTAATTATTATTATTTTATTAGTGTTTTATTAGTGTTTTTTTACTTATTAATTATTTTGTAATAAATTAATTTTGTATATTTATATATTTAGTTTCATTTGTTTGTTTGTTCTTGTATGTGTAATGTTTTACTTTTATTATTATTGAAATTAATTATTATTATTTTATTAGTGTTTTATTAGTGTTTTTTTACTTATTAATTATTTTGTAATAAATTAATTTTGTATAATTTTGTATATTTATATATTCAGTTTCATTTGTTTGTTTGTTCTTGTATTTGTAATGTTTTACTTTTATTATTATTGAAATGAATTATTATTTTATTAGTGTTTTTTTCTTATTAATTATTTTATAATAAATTAATTTTGTATAATTTTGTATATTTATATATTGTTTTTTGTTTGTTTGTGTTTGTATTGTAAGGTTTGTATTTTGTTAGTGCTTGGCTGTTATTGGCGTTTAGGCTGTTGTCAAGCACTTTAATAAATTAATTGAATTGAATTGAATATCGAGAAGTTCAACAGAAAACAAATAATTTTTCAAGCAGAGTGTGACTTCATTATGAATTGTGGATTATACGATTGCACGCGATTAAATTATGTATATGAACATGGCCAATTCTTACCTCAGACACTACAACACGTGTTCATTACGAAGATCAACTGGTTAATAATATTTAAAGTAAATAATCTCTGTTTACGCTGAATCATACAAAAAACCCGGTTCTCCGTTTCATATAAGACATTAAAAATTTACATGAAACCACTCAGAAGAAACCACGTGCTGTCATAATGACAAATAAAAACAGTCTGTCTTCTGGGTTGTTGCACTGGGTAGACTCTTAGTAGTTTACTGATGTTTTAGAGGTCCTTGCTGTCTCTTTCATCGGAGCGATAACACTGGCCCTCATACGTCGGTCAACCTTTAACAGACGACACGAAACAACAACCCAGAACACAGTCAACTTTACATTCCCCGTCGTGAGAAACTTAAATCTCATAAAATAACTAAGAGTCTCGGAACTACAAGGCGTGAATGGTCTGGTTCATGATGTAGACCAGTGGTATTCAACCTGGGGTACGCGAAGACATCTTAGGGGGTACGTGAAATTT